CAAGGCTTACATGAAAGTTAGTGTGTTTTGAGTGGAAAGGTGTGTGCGTCTTGTGCCAAGCGAGACTAGAAGTAGCAATAAAGCTATCTGGGCAAGATAATAGTCGCTACGGCGATTGTCTAACTGCATGATATCATGTAATGCCTTTAAAGCCTTAAACAACTCTTAAAATCATTTGGTAAAAAATAGTCAAAAAAGTAAATTCCAGGTATACGAACTTGAGGGCATTATCAGATAGAAGATTCTTTCTGTAAGTGTATACGTCATACTTGCCAGATAAAGCATACCGAAAATGTGTACATCGTGATCACCTGATATATTATGCATTAATTAGATCACCGATCAACACCGGAGAGTCTACGGACAGTACATAGGGACAGTGCAAAACACGTGATTTTATATAAAAACCATCTACCCTAACCGCTAACTAACCAATCATGTAGTTTTGTACTGTCCCTAAGCACTGTCCATAGACTTTTCGGATCAACACGTACCCGATCACTAGTCCCATGGGTATCGCGTAGCCCCGCTACAGTATTTTTCAAATTACAAACAACTACGTACGTAAGTCTATTAATAACTGATAATTAATTGAGAAAATTTGAATTCCGGAGTAGCCATCAAAACAAACATCCAGAGCGCTATCTTGTACACATTTTCGGTATGCTTTATCTGGCAAGTATGACGTATACACTTACAGAAAGAATCTTCTATCTGATAATGCCCTCAAGTTCGTATACCTGGAATTTACTTTTTTGACTATTTTTTACCAAATGATTTTAAGAGTTGTTTAAGGCTTTAAAGGCATTACATGATATCATGCAGTTAGACAATCGCCGTAGCGACTATTATCTTGCCCAGATAGCTTTATTGCTACTTCTAGTCTCGCTTGGCACAAGACGCACACACCTTTCCACTCAAAACACACTAACTTTCATGTAAGCCTTGTTATTAATTAGATGTTTACTTTCCTTCTAGTCAAGAGACTAACTAGTTTTCTTTATTTACATTTGCTATTTATACAATATGCTCTATTACATACTTTGTGTTACACTTTAACTACTTCTTTGTTATTAATTTAGCAAACTTTTAACTTCCCTAAATTTCGTCATTGTTATGAAATCGGTAATCACGGTACCTATTGTACCCGATCCTACTAATGCCGCCTGACACTATGACTTCCACGATTGATCACATAGTCACGTGAGTCATTCGATTCATATATCCGTTTCACCTTTACACCTTTCAACTCATTACATATTTCTTTGTCAAGCTGCATTCCCCTTACTAAGTGCAAGGGTTCTTCATAAACTATGTGACATGAGCTGGACCCCATTGGTTCTCATCCTCAAGGCCATGTTATTTTTGTTCGATGGTTCTCCAGCTTGGTTCGGAAGCTCATCTTCCCAGGTAAATAACCTTTTTACTCTATTTCTCGTAACTGGGTCTTTTAGTTCATAACCATCCAATTCATTCAAATATACCTGTCCATATTTTTTTATATTTTGTACCTTGTAAGGTCCTACTCATCGATAATCCAACTTTCGGGATAATGTATCCAATATCAAATCATTTACCAGAACTAAATCCCTGATTTGGTAGGTTTCTTTTTCTTTCACTTTTCTATCATGTATTTTCTTTCACCTTTGCCTCAATTCATCCTTTTTGATTTGTGCTTTTCTCAGATCCTCCACCATCCCCTTGATTTGTCTAGTTCTATATTCTAACAATTCATCCATCATCCATTTCCTCTTCCCAATATAAACCTGATAACTCTCTATTATCAACTGAATTGGTGTTATAGCATCCCGCTCATAGACCCGAAGAAACGGTGAGTACCCCAAATCGTTCACTGTCACATTAATAACCCAAATCGCACTTCTCACATACTCATACCATTTGTTTTGTTTGTTTGCACAAATCTTAAGAATGATCCTTGTGAACTTTTGCACTATGCGTTTCGCATGTCTATTCACTTCTGGATGATAACTTGCCACGAATCTCTGAACTATATTTAATCTCATCACCAATTCAGCTAATATGTTGTTTTTGAATTCTGTTCTCCTGTCCAAAACCAGTACCATGAAACATCTTTGCCTTGTTATAATTTCATCTCAAATAAATTGGGCTATTATATTTGTGTTCTTTTTCTTTAATGCTTTTCTCTCCACATATCCAGATAGTTCTTCTACTGCTATTATTACATGCTCATCACCCCACTCATTTTAAACAATGGCTCTAAACAATCGACATACAATTTATGAAATATCCAACTTGTCATGGTCACGTGAATCAGTTCCTTCACCGATTTTGCCACGCATCTTTGACATTAAACACATAACTTCACATATTTCTTTATATCTTCATATATATTACCAGATGCCTAACTATAGTTCATCAATATTTTTTTTGCAGTACTATTTATACCACAATGTCTTTCTTCTTCAGCTATTCCACAGTGATTTGCTGTTAATATGGCATATTTTTCTTTGTTATCAAATATCACACGTTTTGGCAAAACACTGCCTTTTGCTCTTTTATATAAGTTTTCTCTAATCATACAATATCATTTCACCTTTTGTCTTAATCATGGCAAATCATGTGACTTTACATCTTCGTTCTATTCGAAATGCTGCAAATATTTCTTTATCTATGTCAAATCTTGTACCTGTTTATCAATTATACCCACTCTCATTATCTTTCTATTTACAAATTCTTCATTATTCTCTCTTTTGCCCACACAATGAGCGGGGTATTTTGATATTCCATCAGCATTGCTATGCCTCTTACTATTCTTATAATACACTTCGAATTCAAATACTAGCAGCACCAACACCCAATGCATCAACCTTCCTTTCAACTCCGTCTTGTTAAACAACCATTCCTAGGCCTAATAATCTACCTATATATTATTCTATATATTATTCATTAATGTTGTACCTGAAAACAATCACCAAGCATTCTTTCTCTGTTACCATGTAGTTCATTTCGTGCTTATTTAATTTTCTTGATTCGAATATTATGGGTCTCAAATTCTCATCTTCATAAGCTTGTTCTAGTACTGCACTAACTGATATGTTATACACATCAGTGTATAATTAATATGGTTTTTCGCTCTTTTTTGTACTATTCCAATCAGGTCTTTTCAAAACCACATCTTCCAACAACCTTTCTTTTAATTGTTCAAACAACTTCTGTTCCTTTTCCCAATTGAACTTACAATCTTTTTTCATCTGGTCCATCAATAGCTATGTGATTTTGCTAAGTTTTTTATAAGCCGATGATAGTATCTAACAGTCTCATGGAATGATCTTATCTTGCTTTAATTTTTTGGTTCAGGCCACTGCTATATCCTCTTTAACCCTTTATTATCTACTTTTACTCCCTTTTACTCACCACATATCCATACATATCCAATTCTCTACTTTCTATGTAACATTTCTTCACGGTGAATATAAGTCTAGCCTTTTCAAATATCTTAACTAATTCAATAAATATATCTACATGATTCTTTAAATCCCCATCTGTTCATAACCCAACAATGTCTTGATACGCTGTAGTTAACTTCTTCCATTTTCATCTTTTAGGACCAAATTCATTAATCTCTGAAAGGTTTCACTAGCGTTCTTTAAGCCTATACACATTACTGTATACTGCAAGACCCCTAGTGTTGTTGATACTACTATCTTATCATGATCTTTTTTATGTATTCGTATCTTGTCAGTATCCTTTAAACGCATTGACACTAGAATACTATTCATGACCAGCTGCTTTTTTCAAAATATCCCTTATGATAAGGAGTAGATAACTGTCCTTTATTATGTGCTTATTCAATGGCTTCATATTGCCAATGGCACATATTCGATCTGTTCTGCCTTCCTTTTTATCCACAGGGAAACAATAATATGCATAAGGTCACTACCCTCCTCTAATAATCCATACTTAATCATCTCCTTAAGATGATCTTCAAACAATTGTGCCTTCTCTGGATTATTGACTCTAATTGGCTGAAGCCTCATAAGTGGTATTTCAGTATCTCCAGTTCGTATTTCATATTCTACTAGATCAGTATAGCCCATATCAGATAAATTAAAAGCAAATATTTGTGATACTTCTTTCACTAGCTGGCCTATTACATACTCTTTTTCTTCTAATAAGAGATTAGGTTTGTAGTTAAGTAAGTTTGCATTTTTTACTGTTAGTTTTCATAATACTGCCAGTTTAATAATTCTGATTGTTCTTTAGTCTTATTATAATATTGATCACATGGCTCTCCCCATTTATTCTCAGATTCTGATTCCTTTTTCTTTGAGGTTCATTTTTCTTTTTCTACAACTTGAAATCTTCTTATTGATTTACTCTGTTGTTTTCATTATTGTATTCATCTGATTCTTTGTTACTTTCGTCATCTTTCTCTATCTAATTCCATGATACTACCAAGATGATAAATAACAATTCTCTATCTGTCGATAATATTGTGCATCAATATTCATTCTTTTTTCAATATAGACTATATTGTGTATCAGCCGACTATGGCATTCCAAGTAAAACATCGAAACTTGCTAAATCCATTATGTAGAAACTTTGATTCATCTTTACTCTTCCATTTCGACTTCTACTTAAGATATGTATCCTATAAATTTACTAATTCTATCATCTGCCATTCTTCCTTTTTCATATGTATGATCCCATCTAAGTCCTCTTTTCTTTGCATAATTCTTATGCATTAAGTTTAGGCGTGAACCAGAATCAATCAGTATATTTATAAGATTTCTATTTATTAAGGCAGGCCACACAGATACAATTTCATTCTTACTTTCTCTCATTTTATTTTCTTTAACTAACTGTAACCTGATATCTATGTATATAATATTATCATCTCTCCTTTTTCGTGCTAATACTTTCATTATTTCGCTTTTTGCCTTGGGTAACTATTTGAACAGTTGCCCAAGCAAGATGGTAAGTTTTTGATTAGCCACAGCTTTTAAGATATCAAGGCTCTAGTCAGATCTAATAATAGTATATTTAGTTACAGTTTCTTTACTCCTTCTCTTTTGACCTAGTGGCAATGCTTGTTTATCATACTTTACTTCTAGTACTTTTTGAGTCCTTTCCTTTTTATTAGGGCATTCATTTATCATATAATTTTGTTTTCTTTTACTTAAATTCCTAACATCTGCTAAACTTTGTCCTACATCATCAACTAATTTAACCATTAGATATTCACCATTTTTGTCCAACTTCTCATTTGTGAGGTCCACTAGATGTACATTGGGGTCTTTTTGCTTCTCATTCTCCTTGTTTGAGCTTCAGTTCTTTTTCTAATACTTCTCAAATTTGTTTACAGATTGATTTTGCGATACCTTTTCTGGACAATAATGTGCTATGTGACCATCCTTTTGACATACATAATATCAAAACCCTATATTTTGCTTGTTTCTCAATTGTGAGTTATCTCTCTTGGTTAGATCCTTCATTGCTCTAACTATTTCTTTAATTGCATCTTTTATTT